TAGCAAAGTTAATTTGACGGTTACTGGAATAAGTATTCTAAGAACATTCTCTTCTAGTTTAGCATCATGTTCTATTCAACCTTTAGCTCAGGCTACGCCTATTTTACAGGTCGACGCCATAACCCTTACTCGCATTTGTTCAGATGTACCTTAACAAAAGTTTTCTGTATCAAATTTCTCATATATTTCTGGTATAGATTTGGCCGATAATAAATTTAATTTTCCGGGTCCAATTGATATGCTACTGGGAGCCGATATAGTCCCTGAAGTCATGACATCCGGGAAAATTGTAGGTACTCCAGATCAGCCAAGAGCTCTTAAAACCATTTTTGGTTGGGTTTTGATGGGAAAAACCACTATGGCTGGTACCCACTCGCTCTATACACTCATATTTCTCTCAATGTAATTCCTCACTTGATACAACTCTTGGAAAATTCTGGGAAATAGAAGAAGTTCCATATATTAATTTACTCTCCCCCGATGAAAAAAGGTTTGAATCTATTTTCATCACTACTCTCTCTCTCGAAATGAAACTGGATATGCAGTTTTCCTTCCATTCTTTAATCCCCAACCTTATTTTGGAGATACTCGAACTTCGGCCTTACCACGTTTTCAGTCTAAGCGTCGCTTGCTACGAGAACCCCAACTCTATGCCGAATATAAAGAATTTATGAAGCATTACCTGTTAAGTGGTCACATGGAATCCGTACCGCCTCCTCTATCGTTTGAAAATATTTTTTACATTCCACATCATTGTGTCACCTAATAGCCCCACAACCAAACTTCACGTTGTCTTTGACGCTTCAAGTAAGTCCTCTTTTGGTCTCTTACTAAATGATAGTCTCCTTACAGGACCAAAACTTCAGTCTGATATTATATCTCTGCTACTCAGATTTCGAATTCATCCCTTTGTATTTATTGCAGATTTAAAACAAATGTATCGCCAAATTTTGTTTCTCGATAATCATCAAGATTATCAAATGATGTTATGGCGATTTTCTCCTACAGATCCTGTCCAAGATTTTAAGCTTAAAACGGTTACATAAGGTGTCTCTTCTAGCATCTTTCTTGCCATCCGAACCATTTCTCAATTTATTTCTGACGAAGAAAATAATGTTCCTATTGTGGCTCTAACCTCATGTATTTACATTGATAATGTAATTACCGGTGCTGAAACTTTGAAAAAGGCACAAGCCTTGCAAGCGGAGATTATTTTGTTATTACATAAGGGTGGTTTCTCTTTACGTAAATGGGCCTGTAACGACCCTAGCTTATTAGTCTGTCTAGCTTCTAGTGATTGTCAACAATCTCCTTTGTTGTTCGACACACATAATTTTATTATGAAAGTGTTGAGTCTTAGATGGAATCCCTCTCTTGACATGTTCTCATATATTGTTCAACCTCTGTACAGAACTTGTTCTAAAAGGATTATTCTTTCAGAGATCGCCCGATCTTTTGACCCTATAGGTTTTCTATCACCTTTAACCTTTTTTGCAAAGCATTTGATTCAACAACTGTGGGTTTTAGGGTTAGATTGGGATTCTCAACCTCCTCCTGATATTTTTAGTAAATGGTGTCAGTATAAATCTGAACTACCTCAAATTTCTGCATTAAACATTCTTAGGTGTTAGTTGTTCTACTTTCTGGAAAATCTAAGGTAGCACCTCTCAAGGTCCTTTCAATTCCTCGGTTAGAATTGATGGCAGCAGTTTTGTTATCTAAGTTAATGGAATTTGTTATCACCTCTTATAAGGATGTTTTAAGTATTAATAAAATCTTTGCTTGGTCAGACTCAATGGTGACTATCGTGGATTAAGACTCCTGCTTTTCGATGGAAAACCTTTGTAAGCCATCGAGTGGCATATATCCAAGAGAGAGTGTGTAGGTAGCAATATCGAATCGTAGGAAATTAGGATCTGAGTAAAATAATTTTATTTTAAATTATAAAAAAGCGTTATATAAAAAATGTTGTCAAAGGTACTCTTGTCTTGTCTTTTTCGAAATCCGTAATCAATCAATTTTTTGTTTCCTTTTTCCATGGTTACCATCCATCGGATAAGTAGGGTGCTAGTGTACGCAGCTATCGACCAAGATCATAATATATGTGATATTATAATGGTACCATCTGACATTGACACTTGACCAACCTCAAATAAAAACTGACTAAGAAACCTTAAAATAAATTGACGTAAAAATCAAAACTAAAGGTAAGACTATATGGTGCTATGATGTCGCCACAGAGTGCCATTCGAACGTTGGTATCATATAAGTTCCTCTGATAACCCTGCCGATTATGCCTCACGTGGCCTTCTCCCTACCGCATTTTTATCTCACTCATTATGATTTGTTGGACACCAATGGTTATCTTCTTGTGAGTATTGGCCTAGGCCCTTGTTTTCTACGGTTCCTTGTCCAGAAGAAAAGTCCCTGACATTAACTACTCTTATATCTCTGAATAACTCTTTGGATATTCTTTTAGAAAAGTATTTATCTTTGAACAAAATTAAAGGAATAAGTGCCTATGTCCTTCGCTTCGTCCATAATGCTCAAAGACATTTTCCCAAGCACACTGATGCATTTTTAGCAACTAATTTGCATGAAGCCCTCTTGTTGTTAATAAAAATAATTTAGTATACCTCATTTTCAGTTGAAATTGATTAATTGAATAGTAACACCCTCTCTAAAACATTTTAAAAATTAATTCCTTTCTTAGATAAGGATGGTCTGCTTAGGGTGGGGGGGGGGGAGGTCGTCTCCAATTTTCAGGCTTATCATACGTTAAAAAATTTCCTCTCATTCTTCCTCGAAAGCATCGTCTCACAGATTTAATTATTGAGTGCTTTCATAATGAACATTTTCATTTCGGGTTGCAAAATCTCCATTTTCTCCTCTACCAACAATTTTGGATTTTGTCTCCAAAACGGGCAATACGCCATGTGTCGCGTTGTCATCGTTGCTTTAAATATCATCTTATCCGAGTTATCGGATCCCAAGTTCTCACTTTTGAAAAATTCTATACCTTTCTAGTACAAGTTGAGGCTATTTTATATTCTTGGTCGCTCTATCCATTGAGCTCTGACCTCTCAGATTTGTCAGTGTTAACCCCCGGACATTTCCTAACCCTTTGACCTCTTACTTCTGTCCCGAGTCCTGACCTCTCTCAAGTGAATATCAACCGCCTGAACCGCTGGCAGTTGTTGCAGCGGTTACAGCAGGATCTTTGGAAACGGTGGCACGCAGAATATCTGCATACTCTTCATCAGCGTCATAAATGGCTTAATAAGGGAGTCGATGTAAGAGTGGATAATCTCGTTTTAATTAAATAGGATAATACTCCTTCTCTCCGATGGAGACGAGGGCGCATTATTAGTATTCATCCCGGTTCTTAAGGAATACCTAGAGTCGCAACTGTTAAAACTACTGAGGGTTCTTTTGTACGACCGTTGGTAAAATTTTGTCCTCTCCCCGCAATGGACAAGTAATCACATGGTTCTTTATTTTTTTTTTATCTTTTATTTTTTCTCTTAAATTGCTCAGTTTTAGTAAATTTTTCTTTATTTTCGGTGGTGGTGGGGGGTATGTTAAGTCTTCACTTATTTAGTATATGTAAGTTTAAATTGAATATTATCATCCAGTATGAAACGTAAAATTTCACTTATATTTATTATTCCGATTACTTATACTTCGCCAAGACGGTATTGCCCTAATTGGTCAAAGACCACATCCGCGTGGCGAAGAACATTACTAATTCAAACGGTCAAATTCTGTATCGCCGCAAATCTCGTAGAATACAGTTGAGTATTTGAGCATTGTGATAATTCGGTACAAAACCCCCAAATTACATTTCCGAACATTCAAATACCAGCCTTAATACATTCCACGACCCCTCCAGCTTAAGGTGGACGTGCCAAGAAGAGAAGTCTGCGCCAGGAAGCCAAGGAAACTAAAGGTAGGACCTCATTGGCAAAGCTTTAAATTTTCTTACGCGTGTGACATGCCGTTAGCTTAACCATAACCTATTCAAACATTAAGATGGAAAAAAGTCAAGAAGACCTTTATATAAATTTAAATACATTAAAAGTATTGTAATCAAAACATTTCATTGGTGTAAATCGTCTTCAGAAACTTGATAGACGTCTTCTTGCATTATCGGTTCTTATAAATGACCTTCGTACATTTATAATTAGTTCTTGTATATTATGTCCGAAAGCTTTTTCAAAGTTATCTTATAAACCATATTTAAAAATTACTTCAGCCATTATTACATCTCTGGTAAACCATATCTAAAGGCTTGTTCAATATATCCCATGCAACACTTGCATTTAGTAGATCTGGTCAAAGATACACCATTATACATTTGGTTGTTGTGATTGTTCATTAATTTACACTGTACAATTTCAAAATAATTAAAAATTAATGTATTTGATTAAAGACCAGCATTATATTTTCTTATAAACCGTCATCAGTAGCTTTTCCGATATTTTGTTGTTGTAAATCATAACCAGAAATTTGCTAGACATCTTCAGTATTAGATAATGTACGAAATAAGCCAAATTTCTTCTTTTTAAATTGTATGCAGAAGTCATTAAACAACAAAACGACGCAAGCTGATAAGTTCATCCGTTTTTTTCCTTTGTATCTCCCAGTGTTGGGCTGCCAAGGTCACCAAGAGGCTTTAGACATTTAATGCATTATATTTAAGTGATATAGTCATAGAGTTTTTTTAAGACTAAAAACAAAGCAACAGAATTTGGAAAATGAAGAACAGAGAAATATACCTGAATAAGGATTTAAAATAATAACAGTATCAAGAACTGTCTCTAATTTTGAAATAGTTCATAGTCTGAAAGCTGTACAACAGACCTAATTGTGAGCCACAGATAATGATTGGGTCCCTCCGGTTGAACCATTCAGCCACCTCTGGTCTGATAGCTAACTTTACAGCAAATATGAGATCTGCATACCGATAATTAGCCAAGTTCCGTGTCATCCTTACTTACCTGGTATGGGTGTTTCTACAAGCTTCGCACCATATTTTGCTAGCGAAGGACTTCTAGCTATTCGCTGAGCTTCCCTGATACCCTTCAGTAAAGTCTTGATATCGTTGTTTTCAGGATCTGTTAAATAATTGGTATAGATTTTTGGCCAGTGGTAGGGATTGCTGGACTTCAGTTTGAGGTATCCCGACGATTTTGGTTGCAACAACACCGGCAATATCTGAAGAAAAAGCAGTATTGTTAAATACATTTTTGGAATAGTTTAAGAACATGGATAGAGAATTTAAACGAATCATCATTCAAATAGACTCAGAAAGTGCCGATTTAGTCAGATCACAGTCAGACACACATAATAAGATGCTTAACCATCTACTTCATCAGTATGAATGATGATACAATTAGAGACCAATAATTACGAGAAAAATTTGATGATAAAAATATACCGAATAAAATGTTAACAAATTGTAGTTCTTACTTGTAGAATGGGCCTATTTTCCAGAGGTTTCCAAACAGCATCGTAGACTTCTTCGGATATTCCAAACATTTTTCTGTATACCAAATTTTTATCTCCGCTTATTCCACCTCCAAAAGCCAACAGTTCTATGTCTGGTCGCTTTGGATCAGAACGAGTTTGATTGGTGTTTAAATACGCCACAGCTTCTAAACCACCTAAAAAATTATACAATTGTACACCTATAATAATTGTTTTGTAGTTATTTTTCTAATATACAAACGTGTTTTACTTCCATGCGTGAACGTATGGTATTACAACATCGAATATACGGGCCTTTAATCTGATCATACAATTAACGATATACCAAGGGGTATGTGCTTTTTTTATGATATTTATTTATGTTGGAAACTTGTCATTCCTAATTGGACTCTAATTTAAATCTTTGGAGTAAAATTCGCCTCACAAAATTGTCTAATTTTTTTTTTGACACATTAAGTTATTTCAATCTTTTAAACCATATTTTGCAAATATAAACAGAAACTAGACTGACTATATATAATGCTTGGCATACTTTATTATACTCTTCACATTTTAACAGATCCCATTTAACCCTACCCCTCATGTTCAATCAGTTTTTTTTTTCAGAATGAATAGGCTTCATCTCCTTATAGAGCTTAATTTTTCTGGATTTCAAGTTGATATCGTTTTGTGTTTTCGAAGTTAGGATTTTTTTAAAATTCCATCCCCCTTAACCCCCATTTTTTTCAGAAGCTTCATCCCCTTATAGAGCTTGATTTTTTGCTAAAACTTTCAAATCAAACATTTTTCGTTTTTGACTTCCTTGCAGACTAAAAACGTGTCATTGGACAAACGGACAGACGGACGTGCGGGAATTTTTAACAGTTGTTTAACATTTGATGAGAAGAATTTTGGTACAAACGTTTTGGTTTCCCAACAACTAAACTACCGGGTGAGAGTATAATAATGCCTTATTATTGGTCACAAAATACCACTTCATTCAGTTTTGTTGAATGATTTTCGGTTGCTTTGATGTGTTTCTGTATAAAAAAAAGCTTGTAGAAAAGAGGCCTGTGATTTAAACACTTGTGACTGATGTATCTTTACTTATGCACAGTTTTACTTAAAATTACAGGTAGATTAGATTGGGAGTTCGTTGTTTGTCCTTGTCCACCGCGACCTTTTCAGATCTATTGTGAGACTCCATTTGTTTTAGAGTATGTCGTCTAGATTGGTCTTTTTTATTAGACTTATTAGCTTTGACAGTGACTCCCGCATGTAGTTGCTTGCGTTTGACTTTTCCTCGCCCAATGTTAGAAACCTCATTCCAGCTAGGCCTTCGGATTGGCACCGGACGTGGAATGATATTTCCTCTTTTTCTTCACAGAACTTTCACAAAGTTGCTTCTGCTAGATTGATGACACTCATATTCCTTTTAAGGTGACAGTTTCCAGTAAAAAGGCTTACTGTTATCCTAACGATTTGGCGCTTTTGATCCAGTAGGTCTTTCGTGAACTTTGCCGATGGTTCCTTGATGAACTGTTTGGCCTGTCTCAGTCTTGGATAGTTGTTCCACCATTCATGAGACTCTTTTTGCATCCATTGCTTAATGGATGCCTTCCACAATGCCTTAGCAACTCCACAGAAGGGTTCGGGGCCTGTCATGGCCTTATCTGAGCCTTCTCGGACTAATTCGTCGGCCTTTTCGTTGCCCTCATATCACTCGGGGCCTGGCACCCAGGTTAAGGTCACCTTGTTTCGACTACTTAGCTCTACCAGGTCTTCTAGACAGTCTTTCACCAGTCTTGCTTTGATTTCTGGTGAGAGAATTGCCTTTAGAGCTGCTTGGTTATCAGAGTATATGGCAATAGTTTTGCCTGATACTTGCTGATTTAATATTTCTCTCGCACAGTGTTGTATGGCTATTAGTTTAGCCTGGTACACTGTTGCATATTTTTCCAAACTCAGCGAAATCGTTTTCGACTTGGGTTCATAGATTCCAGCACCGGCTTGGTTTTTGAACCGTCTGTGTACCAGACGAGTTCAGCTTGTACGGGAAGTCCCTGTTTCCTGGATTCTAGGGTAGGTAATTGAATTTGAAAATTTCTTTCAAATTTGTATGTGGTTATGGCTCTATCAGTAGGCATAGCTGGAATATTATCTCTTTTTACTTGCTGCCTTGTGTGGTCGGCGCTATGTCGTTGGCTTATTGAATTTTGTCCTTGCATTAGCCTGTGAAAATCTGACCTGGTTTCTCCTTGTATGAAGATGTGCAGTGGCGTGAGATTTAATAATACCTCCATTGCTGCAGTTGGCGTAGTGCGCATGACCCCAGTAGCACTTAGACAGGCAAGCCGCTGAATTCCAGTGAGTTGGCCTATTGCACTGCGCAATTTTGGTTACCCACGCCACTCCCCCATAGGTTATCATGGGTCTTATTCTTGAGTTATAAGATGGTAAAAAAAATTGCAGGTATTTAGTGATTTTTTCTTTTACATATTCGTTAAAATAACATTTGTAAAGATATGCGATATGCATGAACTAATAAAATATTCAATCACAAAAATTCTTCTGATATATGACTTTTTGTAATTGAAAAACTTTTGCTAAAAAGTATTTAATGAAAATTATTTTGTGGATAAAATGTTTGGAAATGATCAAATTTGAATTTATTATGGATGTTACCGTGATAACAACGAATTATGTTGAGTGATAGATGTAATAGATCAAGCAAACATGTAACCTACCAAATGTCCTAAGCAACTTCCAGAGAAGAATTAAACTTTAAAAATAAAAAAATAAACTTTACCAATAAAATTTCGTCTACTACGGTTACACAAGTTTCGGTTATTCCGATGTCAACCTTCGGGCCATAAGGTGGACAGCTATAAAAATTCCGGAAATAGTAGAAAACCAAGGGGCGCCACAAACCCAGTAAATAAAAAAAAAATGAAAGAAAAACCTTACTTATGTTCCTTTATAATTAATTTACCAAATTCACCCAATAAATACCATGATTAACAATTAATAATTAATATTAAAGACACTAACAAACCCAATGTTTGTCAATAAACTAAGACTATGACTTAAATTTATCACATAGCCAAGGTAATTACTCAAAATATCTTATTTTAAAGATGAGGCCTCACGTTGGGCGCCAAAAATGTAACCTCTAAAGTAGTCATACTCAACCTTTTTTCGTTAGGGCCATATGCGTATGTTTGCTATGATACACGGGTCGCAATATTTTTGGATAATTGCCCTTTATTTTTAGGCCATCCATTTAAAATTAGTTAGAGGGAACCTTCAATAAATAAAACAAGACATAAATATATCCTATTGGGTTACTACAAAAACAAGATACCATTTTTATTGTTTAAAGAAAACGCTTTTTAAAGGTTTAAAAATTAAATAATAAAACTGCTAAAGCTTCAAACTATTTAATAAACAATAACTCCAATGAAAAAAAAAGTATTCAAAACACAAAGTATAAACTAAAAATATATCGATTGGTAGCTGTCTACATACAGGTGATAATATTCAATGTTTGTCTCACTATCATCAATGGGAGGTTCAGGTACCGTGTCTTTAACATTATTGGTTACAGGTAGATTGTATAATAACGATTTGAAAATTTTTAGTAAATCTTCTTGATAATACGTCTTGCACTTTTTATAAGTATTTTCAGATCTTTCCACCCTTTCAGGCATCCCAATGCCGGTATGGTTTGGGGTTTTCAAGCAGTGCGAAAAGCTGGTGTTTTGTTGTTGTTTCAGTGATTCAAGAAGTACATCTTGTCGTTTTAACGCGCAAACAATAAGGAGACGTATCGTGGAAAGAAAGGGTAACGTAATCACCTTTCGGATTAATCGAGAAGGACCAGAGACGGCTCTCTAGGCAAAACAAAACAAATAGCTTGGGCAAAATGTTGAAGTATTTCAACAAATAAATTCAACAAAATAAGTGTTCTGGCCTTTATCTTGTTTTGGCAGAAACTTTATCAGGAATCGGACTAAATACATTTACTTAGCAAAAATAATTCATAATATGTCTCTTATCTGGTTTTGGTAGACACACTATTAGCAACTGAATACAATGTTTATATTTTGGTATAGGGGAGAGGGCGGATGGTTTGAACACGAGGAGGTTTTGATCAATTACAACATTATCTACTAAAATATTTTCTTGTCGTCTGTGAAAATAAGAATTCACTGGCAACAGTGTTCTCTTCGCCTGTCATTAGTTACGCGGGGATTAACCAGATGATGTTAGGTCATTGTTAGGTGAATATATTTTCGTCAAATTCCTTGTTTATTTTGATCATCCTTACAACATATATATTTTTAAATCCGTCAATGTGTTTAATTGTTCTATTGTTTGAGCGTATCCCTATATTTTTGAGGTAAGTTTATAAAACAGTTATATTTAAATATTCATATGCATGAAATGTAAACTATTTTTTTTTTTTTTTTTGAGAGAAAGTGCCATCGGGAGGCTTTGAACTACAAGCCCGGGGAGACTTTAAACGATGTTCAAAGCCTATCCAGACTGTTCAAAACATTGCCATTAGGAAATAATATTTTGAATTGACACCCAAAAATATTTAATTATTTAACACGAATTAGGTATTCACAAATATGGAGGAGACTATGCTACAAACATATTTACTTAGGACTTCCCGTATGAACTTATGAATCTATCCGTAAACTTGCGTATGAATATGCGATTAAATTGGACAAAAAATTACTGAGAATTGGATACGAGACGAAAGGGCTGGTATTGAATAGATGAAGGGCTAAATGAGAAGACATCCAACTCTCAGTTTACGCAAGCCTGAAAATACTAGCTTAATACGATCAACCAGTTTTAATCCAACAAACGTAAAATTATTTCTGGAAAATTACACAAAGGTTATGGAAAAGTAAAGCTTTTCCGAGGAAATAATTTTTAATCTGAATGAGACTGGAATAATGAGGGTTGTTCAAGCTCCGTATATCATTGCAGGTAGAGGAATTAAACAAGTCGGTTATGTCGTATCCGAAGAACGCGGTAAACTCGTTACTATGTATGCAATAATATCTGCAAGTGGAAATCCTGTTCCTCCGATGTTTATTTTTCCGAGGGCTAGAATGTTGGAGACGTTAATGAATGGGGCTCCTAGCGGTAGTTTAGGTTTTCCCAATAGTCCGGAAAGTGG